AAACAAGGTCAAACAACTTCTATACAACGAAAGGAGACTGCGACCACACTAAAGACCACACCATCTTGGTTTTCATACCTTTGCTTAAGATTTAGCCTTTGCTCAAATGTGTTTCCTCAATAATTTCCGATTGCTTATCTTGGCTGAGTGTTAGTGCTTCAATAGCTTTGTGAACTGGGATGTTAATACACATTGACACCACATTCAAATATTTACCAGCTCCTCCTCCCGAATACTCTGTTGATCTGTCAATCTAACAAAAATTCATATGAATTCTTCACTGAATATTTCCTGTACTTGGCCCTAACTTATCTGCATCCCAGTAGTATGCATGATAATTTCCAGAGTCTGACCGTGGTCTTGATACATTCCGCGACGTTTCGCCGGCATTGTAAGTGAGCTTTGCCGTTCTTAGCATCACATTACAACTCGTCAAAAAGACAAATGAATGCACCAGGGTAGAAGGAAAGATAGCACAACCTTTGAACAGACAATTGGATAAAGTTTCGATTACACTTGTCGCCTTGAAGAGGTGTAGTGCGGTGCTAAGAATGAATAAGACTTACCGACGATGCCGGCTAAACGTTTGGGAATGTATCAGGTTCACGCTCCGATCCTGGAAAGTATCATGCATATTATGGATTGCGGGCAAGAAGGCCTAAGAAATTCCGTAAAAAATCACTTTAGAAAAAATGACTTTGTAACTTGCTTTCATAATGCACCGAGAGAGGAGGAGTAAAGACTGTTGGATTGCGCGAAAGTCTACTCAGCCTACTGTCTACGACTCAGATCAAATCGTGCAAAACTTTCGTCTGTCTCACTGCGGCAAACATCGTCAGAGCAGGAAACCATATCTTCCTAAAAGCTCAGGCAAGAGAAAGTGGTATATTTTTGCTTTATTTTATTAAGTATGCTTTCTTGTAGCGATAATTTCTGTCACGGTGTTACAGAGGAGGACCAATTAGCACAATCCAATAGTTTCGATTTCCAGTCAGACCAATTGACGAATTCTTTCCGAACAACCCAGTTTTTCTCTTAAATATGTAAAAATAAACGTTCACTAATCCCACCCCTTTGTTCTTACCTACCTCCTAGCTGCTGGCCGGACAGCCGAGTAATCGGAAGATGGCCAAGTCCGCCAAACGCTGCTTTAGCGGCTCAAACGAGGCTTTGCTTCAGCAGAGCTGGGACCAATTGCTCGGAGTGTCTGGCCTGGAAGTGTCAAGAAAACGAAAGCGTGCTGGAGGCCGAAGAGAGGAGCTCGCCGATAGTGAAAAGGAGAGGAAAGGAGTCGGCAGAGTGGTCAAGGCGAAGGTGCCTAATAAGCCGGAGGGCGAGGACGAAGAAGAAAACGAGCACAAAGAGGACGAAGAGGGGAGGGAGGGTGCGAGAACAGAAATGGATAGGGGGGAGATGATTGAAAAAGAGGTGGATGCCGATGATGTTGAGGAAGAGGATGAAGAGGAGGAAGAGCATGAGCAGGAGGAGGAGGAGGAGGAGGAAGAGAAGGAGCAGCAAGATGAGGAGAACGATGAGGAAGAAGAGGAAGAGAACGAAGAGGGCGATGAAGGAGGAGGCGATGGGGAAAAGGAGGGAGGGGAGGAGGAGGAGGAGGGGTTGGGAGAAGAGGAAGAGGAGGAAGAGGGCGAAGAGAGCGAGGAGGCGGAGGCGGAGGAGGACGAAGAGGAGGAGGAGGAGGAGGAGGAGGAGGAGACAAAAAGGGAAGAGGAGGAGGAGGAGGATGCGGCCGGGGAGGGCAGCGTTGAGGGCTATCTGTACGCCGGCGGTCACTTTCCGCTCGAGAGTCCACGGACGGTCGTCGGCTCCGAGGCTGGCCGGCTCGCGTCGGGCAGTCCCCGGCTTCGACAGCGGCATTCTCACCGGCTCCGAGGCCCGCCAGCCGGGCGGGACTCGAACGTCGCCTCGTCGCCTGCCTCGCAGGCCGCCGGCGCGCGCCTCGACGAGCCCGGCCCGCTGGAGCCGGCCGTCTCGACGGGGCCGGGACGCGGCGGAGGCGTTCCGGACAAGCTGAGCCCTCTCGAGTTGGCCGGACTCGCGGGCGAGCTGCTTCCGGGGCCGATGGTCGGGCGAGACCTGGTCTGGCCGGCCGTCTCCACGTCCGCCTCGGCCGTCTGTACCTCGGCCTTCGCGGGCGCGCCTCTCACGCCTCTCGGACACGGCGGCTTGGCCGCTGCGGCCGCGGCCGCCGTCGCCATGCAACCGTTCTTTCATTCGGCCGCGTCAAACGAGTTCGACGCCTGCTCGCCGCACTCGCTGGCTCATCTCGTCGGACTCGAACCGTCCACCGGCGCCAAGATGCCCGCAACCCTCGCCGCTCTACCGCCGCCCCCTCCGCCCGGTCATCTCGGCCCAGCCGGTACCAACTGTCCGGCCGCCAGTTTCTCCGGCCTGCCTCCGATGCTGGCTGCGGCCGCAGCAGCCGCGGCCCTTGCCTCGGGGCGTTTCTCCACCGGCTCGCCGTTGTCCGGGCCCGACGAGACCGGACTTCCGGGCTCGACCGATTCGGCCCGGCTCGCCGGCACCCCATTCAACCCGACCACGCCGACCTCCTCCATGATGATGATGATGATGATGCCGCCGCCGCCACCGCCGCCCATCTCCACTTTGCCCACGGGCTTCGGGTTCACGGGCCTGCCTTCGAGTCCCGGCGGCTCGTTTCTCACCACCTCCGCTCCCAGTCTCGCCAACAACCTTTGCCCCACCTCGTCTGCCTGTTTCTTCCCCTCCGTCTTCCCCGTCACCAGCGCACCCATACCTTCCGCACCCAGCACCACCATCCCCACCCAATTCTCTGGCCCACTCACCGCCTCCTCCTCCTCCTCGTCTGCTTGTTCATCTGCCGCCTCTTCCTCCTCCTCCTCCTCCTCTTC